AGCTGCAACATAGCCTCAGCAGTGAACAAACTGCAAGAAGCTAAGTTTAAGTTTAAACAGCACCTGGACACGACAGTGTGATAAATCCCAGGCAGAATTATTTTAGGGCAGAAGCTTAAATGTAAAGAAAAGGATACACACAACTGATCCTGGCTGCTGCCTGCTTGCTCCGTGCACACGCAGCATGCTTGAAACACTAAGTGAAGGTACGTGGTATGAACTGTAAAATGACTTCAGTATGTTGCATTTCATTTAATGCACTGGCTAGAGCAAACATATTCCTGTCAGTACAAATAAAACCAAAATAAGCCCAGAAACATTTATGTAATCTCCATTTTCACAGAAGACTTAAGCTTGTCGACGTTAGGTTAGTTGAGGCTGCCAGCTTTATCAACTCATCTCATCAGTTGGAGTTTGTTAAAGTATGGCTAGTGAGGAAGAAATTTGTGATTTTCTATCGGGCATCAAAAATGGTACAATCCTGTGCTTTTCCAGGTCTTGTAGTTACTTGGAAATTGATTGGACAAAAGCAACAAACTCAACAAGAAGGTGTTATTGTTGTAATTCTTATGTGTGTACAACCAAACACCACACAATAAAGGCATTCAACCTAAATTTTAAAAAAAGATACGCAGCTGCACAGCCACTTTTCACCTATCAAGGCTGGGCTATAAATGATAAAAGAAATGTATTGCTGTGGTATTGCTGAAAATTTTGATGACAATATAAATACAATCAAACAGCGTTTTCAAATTTTTTTTACACATTACGACAGTGTTTCTCAATCACTATCTGTGGGCTTCAGCATCTCAGCCATAAAAACTGTATCCCCTGTTTGAGAAGAGAAGGAAGTTTAAAGTTCATCCACCTGTCCAAATATTTTAGAGATATTCAGTGTTTTGCATATTATATTTTACTAAATGCTATGTCCAAGAAGTCCTTCATAACTTAAGTTTTGCATATAGTAATACAGCAATGGCAGTTGAATATAACATGCAGTTCTAACTTTGAATAAAGTAATCCATGCTAGAGAACATATGAATACTAAGTGAGATCTACTGTTGATCAAATGTTATTTTCAAACATGTATATGGCACTAAATATAATAAATGTTATTAATAATCAGAAAGTGACTCTCTTGCCTATTTATAACAGATTCTGATTTGTCTTAGAAGGGAAAATTTCCTGGTTGGGACATCCCTACGTCAGAAACTTATGAAATTATCCAGAAATGTTCCTGTACTGATGTCAGGTCTATGAATCATGAGGTCTATTTGTATTTGTAGAAGAAGTCCATTATAAACTTCTGCGTCACATCGGTGAGGTTCCCCACCAGGACAATGTCAACCTCCGCAGACATCCGTTACACATGTCCTCCATTGTTTATTACAACCATAATACTCGTCTGTAACAAGTGTCTGGGAACCATCGTTTGGCAGTTCTAGAGAACTCTACGCCTTCTCTGAAGTTTGCTTCCACTGTAGACAAGACGTGCAGGTTATCACTCTTTAAAAAAAAAAAAAAGGCAATCTACATGCTAGACATTGTCAATCCCTTCCTTTTGTGGGAACACATTGTTTATGCTTCTGGCACAGAGGTTTTCCGAGGAGAGCGTGTTGTCCACAGAGGTTATAAAGTTCACAATGGTGTCAATGTGCTAAGAGCAGGAGTGGCTATTTCCACCAGCACTGAAACTGAGAGAGGGGGACATTATCAATCATGTCACAGACTGTAAGTGATATAACTTTGCAGACAACTCATTGAACATAATTTAATATCTTTAAATTGTGACAATATGTCTCAAAATTATATATGTTAGAAGGTTATCTTCACAACCAAGGGTCAAGACAAGTTCTTACAAAAAAGACGGTTATGATCCTAAAATTATAAGCGCTTTCAAATATGGTCCATTTTTACGTGCCATCCTGAACAAATATTTTACTCTTGTACGAATGTGACGCTTAAACTATGCCTACCACACTGATGAACTCAGTGCCTGAAAAACCACGTGTTGCTGTTAATGGACGAACAATTCTCCTGTATTTGCGAGCGAAAGACAGAAACCAGTGACCCTGTCAAACAAGAGGGGGGCAGAGCGTGCACGGACTGCTTTGTGTGCAGAACGTGTGTGAAGATGAAGAACATGTACGACATTACCAGTGAACCCAGAGTGACTCCTTTCAAAATGATTCTTTGTACTTGCTTTTTGCCTGCCTCTGACGCAAAGGCTGTCCATTTTTGAGCAATATCGCAATTGAATCACACAATATAACAAAGAGTTGTTATTCTACTGAAGATACTTTCTTGTGCAAAGTTTGCAATCCTTCCCAGTAGAGTAATTCTGTGTCCTACAGGGGAGACAAACAGATAACAAAGAGCGGTAGATAGAACACAAAACAACTATGACGAACATCTAAAAGTGTTCTGCAGGATTATATATAAGCAACCCATATGAAGGATCAGAAGGCTAGCATTTACATTTTTTTTTTTACTAATGTACATATAGGAATTCAGTTCAAGTGGAAATCACTGGAGCATATTCAGACAAACCCATTTTTGAAATTATCTTCCATTGGTTTCCAAGAAAAACTTTAATTAAAATACAGAAAAGTCAGTAAAATGTCAAAGCATAACTGATAATAACTCCCCACAAGTTTAGGTTATTTTGATAACCAGCTAATTCGTGTTGTTACGACTGGCTCAAATAATTTGTCAAAAACGATGTCCGGTCTCAGCTTTGAGCAGATAAACAAAACAAAAAGGACTTTTGGGGCCTTGACTGTTTTAAATGTGTACCTGGTAAATTAGAGGCTAATTACTATCAGGTGAAGAACTTAAAAACAGCATCACAAAAACTAACTATAAAATAGAACAGCAACTGCCTCTGTGTATTTAGTTTATGCCTCTAGTTTATGTTAGTTTCTTTTTCTCCGCTTAGTAATACACTTAAATCCATCTGATCTGACGGGGTTTTTTGGTATGCATAAAGATCCCTTTTGGATCTAAAACATTTGTACCTCATTGGATAAAGCTTTTTCTATAGAATTGTAGGGACTATTTTAGCACGTCATGCTATTCTACAAATAGAATTAAACACAATGTGGTAAATGGAGAAAAACATATGTTGAAACGGAAAACAGAACAACCGAGACAATCTAGACATGCAATTTTAGTTCTCTTATCATTCCTCCCAAAGCTCGAAGGACACAGAAACAATGTGCGTGATCTGATGGCCTGGCATCTACTTCAGAATAGCCTGCTTTGTTTTTAAAATATGTTGTTGACAGTTATATCTACTACGTGTTTTACGTATAGATGAAGGCAACAGTTGTGTACAGAAAGCTTTTAAGTCGAGGCACGATGCATGTAATATGAAACCCGCCGACACCACAATGGAAAGTGTCCCCATTATCTTATGAATGTAAACAACAAGGCTTGTCACAGATTGTACAAGTTTATGTTCGCCAGGAGGACAGCTAGGGACTGATTAAGCTGCTCACCGTCAATATGTGTTGTCGACAGTCATGTGAAACTGCAGCCCACATCACTGGTCGTACTGTTGACTGTGTTGCTATTCTGCCGACAAGCTTCAGATTTCTTCATTTTTAACTGATACAAACCTTACGAAATGTAGGAAATGCAAGAAGATGGAAAAAGACTTTGTGAAGCAGACCTTATAGACTTAGATAATGCAATATAGCTACTGCCAAGCTAAAATGGGCAATGCATCTTTTCTATTCAGACAACGTGATATTCTTCTCATACACGGAGCTGACTGCAATCGTAACACAAAAACTAAGAAAAGTTACTAGGAAAGTAAGCATAGGGCTTTTTGTTAGTTTCAAAAATGCTAGCTTTGAAACATGCAGCTTTTATGGTTGTAAATGCTTTTAATGAGAAGTCAGAGAAGGAAGAGCATGGTACAGCTGACTCCATACCGTCAGTCAGGTGGCTGAAACAAAGTTTTGACCCTTCATGCTGTCTTTACGCAAGAAAGAAAAACCTTCTGTTTGGAAATATTTTGAAAACCACAATCACTGATGAAATGTGTGGTAGAACTATAATGTATGTAGCTATAAGTCATGTCTTTCAAGCAGTAATCAAACCAGACAACACTGATTAACCAGTGAATATCTGCTTATTGTAACTGTGTTAAGATTTCAAGAATATTAGAAAGTTATCCTAAGGTGATATTATTGGTAAATGTTGCTACGATGACTTCAGATCTAATAAATCCACATGCTGTCCTCCCTCCTATCGTTCTCATGTGTGTTTCCAAAACATTCTGTGATCTAGCATCTCTGGCACTATGACTTTAAGTCAGATCGTTTATGTGCATCTTCTGAAGCCAGACTCCATTAATCAGGGTAAGCATCTCACTGACATGCAAAGTTTTAATACTCCTGGACAATTTCTGATACAAAATTGTTATCACTGCATTCCAAGCAGCTCTTTTCAACATCAATATTGGATACAGTAATACAGTGATGACAGTTAAGGTAATATATTATTGAGCAGCTGTGCTCAATAATACAAGTTATATTATTGAAACCTATAAGAAAAATGATAGGTTTAATTTTCTACACATAAAGCACTTGCAAACTTTTTTTTTATGGCAGATGTTTTGCTTAAATGAATGGTCTAAATGAATGTGAATAAAGTTCGACAAAAACAGAGATAGCCCTTCTACGTCACTCTTTAGAAATGCAATGCTGCTTTCAGTCACTTTAGACTACACACTCAGTGACGCTGATGTCAAATAGTTACATGACACTGACTCATGACTTGAAGTTGTCTGACAATTTGCTTATCGTAGTGGCAAAACTGATCATTTTCTTCTGCTGGGCTTGAGCTGCTTTCTGTCATGACATGGGTGCTTTCCACTCGCGTGCACGGCGAGCAGTTGTGGATTATCTGCGGGCCTATTTCTGCGACTACAACAACAAACCCTGGTCCTGCAGAGGGCGGGGGGTGGATGGGATAGGGGTGAGGTGACCTACCTGCTCTCTAGATATGCAGGGCAACGAGGGTCTGCGGGGCATTTTACAGCTGCCATAATAGCTGGTCGACGTTTCCCCCAGTGAAACGCAACTGGACCGTCTCCTCGGTTTGATCACCGGGACCTTTTCCTCCGCGCTGGAAACCCCACTCGGCGCTTCCCTCGTCTGGCAGTAGCGGTCGAAACAGATGCCCAGCAGGGAGCCAGAAACCCCCGCAAAGCAGGCCAGGAGCGGTCTGAGCAGTGCGGGCAGAGCGCTCAAACTTGTGAGGGAGAGCAGCCACACCACGCTGGCGAACACCAGGACGAGGACGCTGTGCTTGAGTTTGAGCGTCGGGATGAGCGTGAGCAGACCCACGCATCCCAACACGAACAGCAACCTGCCCACCATTTGCATCTGGTGCTGGTCCTCTCCCCATTGCAAGAACCGCAGAACCAGAAAATCCCCGAGGTAGCACGAAGCTGGCAGTGACAGGAGCCACGATCTGCTGCTCTGCTTCTTCTTCCTCCTCAGGTAAAAGGTGAGGAAGAAGAACGCACATCCTATGCTGAACAGGGGACAGATGGACTGGGAGAAGCCCAGCAAAAAAGTCCGCAGATCCCACACCGAGTCACTTTGCAAGCTCCTGGAAATGAGGAAAGAGACGGCGAAAACAACAAAGGCGCCCACGTATAGGGCAGACACCTTCAGCAGTTTGGAATTGAGGACGTCTTCGTTACAAAACCTGCACACGCTGAACAAAAATCCTCTCTGATGGTCCTGTTTCAGGGGGGTGACGCAGCTCTTCACATAGCCGTTCCTGAAGCCCTCTGAGCTGTTTACACTTCCAGTCCCGTCGTGGTGCCTTAGTTTACCGTGCAAAACCTCTCCTTCCTCCCGTGCGGCCATAGCTTCGAGTCCTGCTCCTCGTTATCTTCTCAAAGGTCGCCTGCGTGCAACTATTCACGGCGTATTAACGCTGAACTACATGACAGCAAACGCGCTCCATGGTCACTCAAACGTGTTCCAGCACTTGGACTAAAGAAAGAAGGTGAGATGTTGTTTTTACAGAAATTGGGCTCTCCGTCGCCGCCTACAGCCCACAACTGAGTACTTCAGGACCAGAGTGTGTGAGGTGTGATCTGTATGGGAGCCTGAGACAGCAATGTCACCGACTTGGAGAACTGCGAACCTTGGTTTGGATCAAAAGCACAGGCAGTTTCTTTAAACAAGATTTACGGACTAAGGCAGAAAATACCTTTGAATCATATCAATAAAATGTGTTTGCTTTTAAAGCAAAAAAAAAAAAAAAAAACACACACACTTTGTTAAGCAAGCTATAAAACTGATCAAATAATAAAATCTTAATCTTCAAATATCACAGAAAATGTTTAGTACAGATTCACACTAATTTTGTGTATGAAACTGCATGTACAAAACATCATCAGCATATGAGGAAATAATAATTTCATTGACGCAATAGTGCGTCAATAAACAGATGGATTTTGCATATCTTTGCATGTTCATAAAGCTATCTTGATAACAGATAGCTTTCCAAATTAACTTTATGCCTCTTTTGTCAAAGTTTGAAAACAGTGCTTCAACCTCTTATCTCCACATTCTCATTCTGCGTTTTTATTTTGTGCATGGTGTATCTGTTCAGAATACCAGACCCTTTTTCACTGAAGACCACACTGTTTCATAAAAACAGAATTACACAACTGAGCATAAGGAAATAAATATGAGCATGGCCAAAACTTCTCCAGAATGGAGCCAGGATGGTTCCAGGAGCTTAAACTCTTACCTTAAACTCTTACCTCTAAGGTCTGCCTCTAAGAATTATGTCACGCTAAAAGTAGCTCACAGGCAACTTGCATTTAAAGTTAGTACTATTGTTTTTTGACAAGTTTACTGGAAGACAATAATCAGTAGCAAATTTGGTGTTTTGCATATATCACACACAACAACACTTTGAAGTAAAGATATAATTTACTCAGCAAAACAAATCATTTGGCACTATATCCTTGCTAATACATCAGCTTACAACAACATGAGTTGTGAGTCCTTCTCACTAATTAAAAAGAGCTACCTCTAATGTCATTAGTTGCACATGCTCTTACAACAAATGTCGGCTAACAGGTAAGTGAAAGAGAAAAGTAAAGCGTTGTGTTCAGTATAGGCTACAGTGCTCTCCACTATGAGCCCCAGAGGGTTTTTAGATTTTTAGGTTCATTGGATGAAACTGTGAATCTAAAACAAATCAATATAACCTTTACCTCGAATACAAATAAATTTGGTAAGGGTTTATGGGGTTGTGGGTGTGATTGTTTTTTTGGAAATTATCACAACTGGTTGAAACTCACAGCTTGTTTGTGTTTTTTAATCACATATTAATATTGTTTTCTATTTTCTGCCAGAGTTTAATGCCAAGTCTGATAATCACTGGAAATGGCAAACATTTTGAAGTAGTTCATGTAGTATTTTTAACTGTTACTTTTTAAATAACCTTCATTTAATCAGTTAAAGTGCAATAACTTTAAACAATAAAGTCCAATTGAAATTTGGTTAAAAGGCTGTTTTTCACTGTAACATCTGACCCAGGTCCTGTTTGGTGGAAGCCTTTTATGTAACAAAGAACTTAAACTTTTGAATGAGACAATTTCAGACATTTCAGGCAGGAGAACAATCCCAACAGCCAGAGCACAGCAACTAATATTATGCTTTTCATCTCAGTCCACATGGGAGAAACATGCAGCTTTATAAGTTCACATATTTTTGCATCCACTGTGGCACTAAGGTTAGTTTCCACTAGAGGATGCTACAAACTACTTTAATCGGTTGTAATGAAAGTAAAACAATTCTGGAAATTGAAATGACAAAGTTACAGTAATTTTTTTGTAACATAAAAAATTGTGATATTTCTACATTGATTCATGAGTTCAGATTTTTGTTCAGTGTGTTGCAACTTAACATTTATTTGTACTTTTCTGTATCTCTGTATTTTTATTCTAAGTGTTGTATTTCTAATACTTTTGTATTCTTTTATGTTTTTGAATAAAATGAATTGATTTTGGCTGAACTAAGCGTCGTAAGATTTTAGCTGGTTCTACTTCAATCTTTAAGAATCTTAAGATTACTTTTGTTGTGACTCCAGTCACAACAAAAGTATTGAATGAAACAGTACAATTTCTCTTCCTATGTTCTGTCTATTTATTTCCTTTTAGATGTTGCAATATTCATTCAGAAAATGAATATTGAAGAACACAAACGTTAAAATTAAAGCGCAACCTTCGGATATATTTTAAAATTCAGCTTTTTAAAATTTGAGTTTGATTTTCTTTGCGCGTTTGAGCCTTCCGCGGCACCGTAGCAGTGATGTGGCTCAGGAAGCTGTCTTCCACGTCAGAAGGAAGAAGCAGAGAGCCGATAGACAGTTCACCGCTGGGGGCTCATCGGGCTTTTACACAAGTAAATAACTAAAGTTTGATTTTGGTAGCCACCTTTAAGAACTAGATATATGTTATAGCTGTAACGCTTATATTATTATATTTCATAAGCATGCGTGATATTGCTTGTTTTGCATATCTCAACATATAACACAGAAAGCTAATGTTACCGTCCTCCATTTCATTACAACGCTGGTCGAAAGCTAAGCTACTGTTAGCTAACAGGGGGTGCGGATTCGTGTATTTTGTATTATACCATAGCTATGTTAGATGTGTAACCAGCTAACTAGATAATTTAAGGTTGTTTGTTAGCATGTCCCCTCACCCAGCTGTTTGTTTTTGACGCAAACAACTCAATTTGTCGCAAAGAAGGCAAATCGCACTTTTGTGACTTTAGCTGCTTTAGCTAGCAGCTGTTTAGCTGGTTTGGATCGCCTTATATTGCGATGAGAACAACGCTAAAATTATTGTTAGCGAAAAATGAAAGATAATTTAATGAAATTGTGCCAGAATTCGTGGCGCTATCGATCTTTAATGCACAACCCCGGCAAACTGAACATGTGTAAGACCGTAGCAAAACGTATTGCCACAGAAAAATAAAAGAAAGCAAAGCAACTAAAACATTAGTATGTACACTAAGATTCGTTGAGATATTTCATCTGATACTGTTTTAATGTCAGCCATAGTGTGATATATAGAAACATCCTAAGTCAATGGAAGATTTAATAAATTGACCACACAGTTTTGTCTATGTGGCACCTGAGCCACCTTACAGTAGTCCTGGTGCCAGTGCCACGACCAGTCATCCCATGGTTACTTAAAGGAGAAGTTTATGTTACATGTTATAATTGTACCATTTGAAAATAAAGTTTCAAGACTTGATAGACCTCTTTGCAAAATATGTTTCATATGTTAGTGACCTATGTTAGATAAACTAAAGCTATAATCTGTAATGCACACAGCTATGTTTGCATCCCATCATCATTCAAATTTTAAGCAAACGTTTGTATTAATAGAGGAAAACAAAAATGAATATCTGAATTAGGTGTGTTTCCATCTGCTGATTTGGAGCACATCAAACATCTTTCCTTTTGTGCATTAGCTTTTTTTTGGAAATACCTAAACATCTCAAGCAAGTGTGAAAATTGTTGTTTTTTTCCTATGAAAGTGAGGAAGTTTTTTTTTTTTTATTCTGTTGTCTCCATTAACTGCTTCTAATACAATACTTCAAAACTCACATATAAAAATTCTGGTAACATTTACTGGCTCTGTTTCCTCCCCCCCACCCCCCTCATTTTAAAAACCCTTAGTTTTTAGTCACAAAAGGCAGTTTATGATTTTATATCAATGTGGTTCTCCAGTGTCACTACGAGAAGTTCCCTTGGGTAAACCAGACAAGTATCCATTCATCTTTAACATTCACTGATTCGTTTTCAACACAGAAGCATCAGATGAAGCAACAGTCACCAAAGCTTAAGTAAAAATAATGCACTTCAAACTTGTATTTTAGATTACATTTTTAGACAGAGCTTTATTTTAAGCAGCTTACAGGTTAACAGTAGATTCTAGGGTGATGCTTGGTGCAGCAGCTGGGCCAAGGTCACATTGACCTGTCACATGGGAAAGTTTGGAATCACATTAACAATCTCAGATAAAGAGAACTCTCCTTGTCCTAAGTACAAAAGCACAAACTGGGGAATTTTTTCCCCACGGCTCTCGTTAGACGGATATCCAAGTTCAACCTTCAATGACGTGTAGGTTACATTTTTCTGCTCTATAGTGAATAAATCTGATTAAAAGAGTTAAGTTAGCCTTAGCAGCAACCCAGTGCCTCCTAAACAATCAAAAAGCATAATCAGGACCCGAGCTTAAATAGTTGCACAACAAAGTAACACTACCAAGCTTAAAAAGGAAACTTAATAAACATTTATATTTATTGTTAAATTTAGAGCTAATGCTTTTCATACTTTTTGATGTATATGCAAATATATTTCTACACTCAACCCGGGAATGTTGGTAGAGCTGTGCTATTGGTTTGTTTTTTGTTTTTTCTGTTTGATAGCTCTTTTCACTGGAATGTTTTTTTTCCTCCATTTCTTGAAATCTAACACAAACTCTTAAAGAGAATGGCAATATTTAGAAAAAGGGTTACTATTTAACTATAAAAGATTCTTTGAAATGTTAGTTATATAATATGTAATCTCTCACAGGAACCATGTATAATTCCAAGAATGTGGTTGTGGAAATGTATTTTGTGTCAATTCTATTGCCACTGAATTAATAGTTCTTGACATTATTGATTTTTTCATTCCTTGTATTTCCAAGCTGCTGCTGTGTAAGACTACACAGTGCTTTACTCTGTTTAATTATCAGCCTTCTGTATTTGTTTTACTTCCTTGTTCAGACTTTGCTCAGTTAATATTGATGCTTTCTTTTGGAATATTTAGCTCATTTGCACTAGCATTTTCTCTGCCCTTTAATGACCTTCTCACTTTTGTCTTGCTCATATAGGTATATGCCAGACAGCTTTTTCCACTGGGATTCTTCTGAAAACTCAGCAGCAAAATGACAGCTGCAGAAAATGTTTGTTACACTCTGATAAATGTAACCTCTGACTCGGAGCCCCCTTCTGAAGTCAGCTTAAAAACTGATCTGGGTAAGACTTTTTAATATGACCCCTAGTTCCCCAACTTTTGCTGTAGTTCATAGATCCTAATTTACTT